GGGAAAACAAATTGTATTTAAGCGAAGCTGAAAAATCCTACGAATGGAAAGACCTGAAACTTTGTGCTGCTATGGACTGTGTCATACCGCCGAAATCTTTTGGCAAGATTGTTGTCACCAGCCAGGATGTATTTGGCAGCAGAGATGTAGTCGTTACAGGTTCCAAACGCCTGCAGTTGGAAAAAGGACTTTTTATTCCCTCTTCCCTCGTTAGGTTCTTACATGGCAGAGCGGTGTTGTGGGTGACTAACAGTACTCACCAGTCTCAAGTGATACCTTCGGACATGAAGATAGGAACAATGCAAGATCTAGAAGTAGGGAGCATATCTAATCTTGACGCTTGTTCTGAAATAGCTGGAAAAGACGAAGTAACTTCCCCAGATGTGAGAGAATGTTTAATTTCAATTATTTCTACTGATTTGGAGGAAACAAAGAAAAACAGATTACTCACGTGCCTAAATGAGTTTTCTGATATATTCGACTTTGAGAAAAAGAGCTTCCCTGTCTCTGGCGAAATAAAACATAAAATCGATACGAGTGATTATCCGCCTGTCAGACAGCGTCCTTATAGAGTGTCTCCCGCCGAAAGACGTGTCATTCAGAGTGAAGTAGAGAAAATGATGGAGACTAAAATCATCCGGCCATCATCAAGTCCATGGGCCTCTCCCGTTATATTAGTGAGGAAGAAGGACGGCTCGTTGAGATTCTGTGTCGACTATCGTCGTCTAAATAAAATTACAAAGAAAGATGTTTACCCTCTCCCTCGTATCGATGACGCGCTGGACACCCTCTCTGGATCCAGGTACTTCTCCACTATGGATATGAGATCGGGTTACTGGCAAATCGAAGTAGACGATAAGGACCGGGAGAAAACGGCATTTATCACTCCAGATGGGCTTTATGAATTTAATGTAATGCCATTTGGTCTATGTAATGCACCAGCAACTTTCGAGCGAATGATAAACAACGTCCTACGGGGATTGAAATGGGACATGTGTTTATGCTACTTAGACGACATTGTAGTCTATGGATCGACCTTTAAAGAACATTTAACACGTTTATACAAAGTTTTGAGATGCATTCAGCAGGCCGGAGACTGTGCCTGAATTATAAAAAGTGTCATTTCGCCTCGAGACAAATAACTATCCTCGGACACGTCGTTAATGAATTTGGAACGCAGCCAGACCCAGAAAAAGTGAAAGCCATTGTCCACTTTCCAAAACCCCGTAATATCAGTGAGACCAGAAGTTTTCTTGGGTTAAGTTCATACTATAGACGCTTCATCAAAAGTTATGCTAACAAGTCTCGACCCTTGAATAGCCTTTTAAAGAAAGATGAAAAATTCATTTAGGGCGAAGAACAAGATGAATCTTTCCGGATTCTCAAACAGGAATTGGGATCTTCGCCTGTGTTAGGACATTTCATAGAAGGTGCGGAAACTCATGTCCATACTGATGCAAGCGGCTATGGTTTAGGGGCAGTTCTTGTTCAAATCCAGAATGACGCGGAGAGACCTATAGCCTATGCCTCACGAACACTAACCAAAGCGGAAAAGAATTATTCCACTACAGAAAAAGAATGCCTCGCAGTTGTTTGGGCCCTTGGTAAATTCCGCCCGTACCTATATGGCAGACCCTTTACTGTGGTTACCGACCATCACTCGCTATGTTGGCTGGTAGGCTTGAAAGATCCATCCGGCCGCTTAGCTCGTTGGGCCCTCAAACTACAAGAATACGACATAAACATCGTTTACAAAAGCGGACGCAAGCATAAAGACGCTGACTGTTTGTCAAGAAGCCCCTTGGCTGGCACCGCAGAGATAGAAGGGCACATTACTTCCATCCAAGACATTGCAGAAGAACAAAGTAAAGACCCTCATTTGGTTGGGATCCGTGAAAAACTTGCAAATGAAAATTTAAAAGGGTATCAGATGATTGGAGGCGTTCTCTATAAGAAAAATTACGACCCTGAGGGCAAACCATGGCTGCTAGTAGTCCCAAAACAAATGAGGCACGAAATTCTTAAAGATGTCCACGACACTCCAATGGCCGGTCATTTGGGATTTGCCAAAACCTATGACCGCGTTAGAAAGAGATTCTATTGGCCTGGACTTTATAGGACAGTTTCCCAATACATTGCTCATTGTAAAGAATGCCAGCGAAGGAAGGGCGTGCCTCAGAAACCTCCTGGACTACTAGTCCCAATACCTCCAACGACCTCGCCTTTTCAAAAGATAGGAATTGATTATCTGGGAAGATTTCCCATATCTCACACGGGAAATAGATGGATAATAGTCGCGACTGATTATCTCACCAGATTTGCGATAACAAAGGCCGCGGCAACAGCGGAGGCTACTGAATTAGCAACCTTCCTTATTGAAGACGTCATACTCAAGCACGGCGCTCCTCGGGAAATCATCACGGACAGAGGAAGAAATTTCATGTCTCAGACCATACGAGAAATAAATAATCTAAACGGAACAATTCACAGATTCACCACGGCATACCACCCTCAAACGAATGGTTTGACAGAAAGACTTAACAAGACCCTGACTGACATGATCTCGATGTATGTTGACGTTGATCAGAAAAATTGGGACAACATCCTACCATATGTGACCTTCGCCTACAATACCGCTCGACAAGAGACAACAGGATACAGCCCGTTCTTCCTCGTCCACGGCCGAGAAGTTGAAACACCGCTGGATTCTATACTGCCGTACCAGCCGGCAGGAACTGCAGAAGATTATGTGGGCCATCTTGTGACCAACGCTGAGGACGCACGAATGTTAGCCCGTCTCAACATCCTGCAGGCTCAGAGCAAAGACAAAGAACGCTACGACAAGAAGCATCAGGAGGTGACGTACAAGGAAGGTGATTTAGTGTGGGTGTTCACCCCAGTCCGTACCGTTGGCTTATCGGAGAAGTTATTGAAGAGATATTTCGGACCCTATCGAGTGATCAGAAAAATATCGAGTGTAAATTATCAAGTAGAAGGCGTGACGAATACTAGGAGAAGACGAAAAACCCAAGATATCGTCCATGTAGTGAGAATGAAGCCCTACCACGACCCTGAAGTCCAAGAACAGATTGCCCAAGGTCATGTGACCGACTAGTAAACAGCGGGACGCTGTTTCTCTTGTGGAGGGAGTGATGTCAGGAGGACAGAGTTTCCTGGTATTCCCCCTTATCTGGACCGACCGGTCGGGGTAAACAGTGGCGTCACGTGGAAGGAGGATATATCTCAGTTCTCCCCTCTTGCTCTAACGGCTGGATCGATTTGGCTCATGTAAATAGTAACTCTTATTTTATATTTAAAATCTCTCATATAACTCATTAAATAAATATTTAAAGTAATTCGAAGGCCTAGTTAATTATTTTTCATCGCGACAATATTATGACGGCGAATACATAATAATACATTATACAATTACTTTATACATAATACAAAGACATCTTACATAACGGCAAATAATATTATGGTGAATAATATTGGTATATCATTTTTTGCATGTGTTTACGAACATTTGGGACAACCTTGTATTTTGGCTAACCCTCTACATATATCATTCACAATCAATCTCTATGTTTTTAAATAATTTATTGTATTTATTTGTTGTAATTCTAACATTAAAACTTAAAAAAAAAAAAACTTTCTGATCGAATATAAGTATTCGTGTTTTTAGATGGTAGTTCATGGAAAGCTTTCCTGTAGTTTAAGTTAGGAGAGGTAACCAGTTTAGTTAAGGGTTCTATGTTTGGTTGCATTGATAGTGTGTGACGGCTATAAAATGATAACTCCAACTATCCTATCCCCTGAGGCAGAGATCCAAATACCTCCCAATCTCTCGTTAAACCACATCAGTCGTTATAATTCAGCTGCTTCCCAATTTTATAGCTGGGCTATAAATGCAGCCGTAGGAAAATGTCAAATTGACCCATTGTTCTAAATAGTTAGGTCTCACCATTTCCGTATCCACCCACTTAATTTATGCCAGGGACTTTTCTAAATTTGTTTTTTCCCCCGACACTTTTTTTTCTTATATAACAAGCTTTTATCTGGAATAAAACTTAACGATGAAATTATATCTTGTTAGTTGGAAATAGAGTTCTTAAATAACTGTTGTGTTGTATGGAACAGGAAAATGCTCGTACATTCTATACCGTATTATTAAATTAAAGGATTTAGTTTTTGAGTTGGGTGACTATTGTTATGAATGACGTCCTTGTACGAATATACTCAGGTTTTTGATTGTTTCCTCGTGTAAAAGTAGATCACGTTTTTATTAAAAGAAGATTTTTTAGTGTAAAATACAGTGAAGCTATCTTTCTTGAGTGACCTATCAGATTTAAGAGTACTGTTGTAAACTATAAAACGAAATGGGTTGAAATAATTAAACTTTAAATTAGACATCACTTTCAGAAGGAGTCAAGAGTTATCCATGTTTTCTTCAGTCTTTCATGGGAGGTTCTAGTGAAAATATTTATAATCATAAAGAAATATAATTTTTAAAATAAGTCCTTTTCCCCTCGTTAAAATAGATTAAAAAACTATGCGCCATCTATTGATCATCTCTATAAACTAGCAGACTTTGGGTCGATGACAAATTTTCAACACTAGCTTTGAAAAATGCTGAACGTGTACTTAAAGATCTTTGTTTTGGGAGCTTTGGCTCCAAGTCAATTCAGGGCAGTCCTCATATCATCCATAAGGAATTTATAGAATATTCTGTTTCTATATCAAATAGAATGTTAGCTGACAAAGTTTTTTTTTTTTTTGCTAATCCCTAGTACACGTGGTACAAGCTATGAAAATCATGGTGGGTAGTTAACGAGTGCTTTTACTGTAAGTGAATCACATGTCTACACATATGAAAAGCAGTTCGACTTTGCACTTACAAATGTGCCAGAGCCCCGTTTGGTTACTTGCACTCACTGGTGGGGTTGGACTTTTGCAAGAATCGGGGGCCATTGGAGCATTTTTTTTCAATCAGAAAAAAGTGCCCAATGCGGGAATCGAACCCGGGTCGTGGTGGTCGAAAACCAACGGTTTAGACCATCCTTCAACCGACCCCTTGCTGACAAAGTGGTTGGGCCAATAAAAAAATGGAACATCGTACCGGAAAGGATAAAGCTCTATTACTCTTACAACATATTCACTGATCATTCTCATTCTAATGGGTATAGACGCAATTGCCACATATTCGATCGTTTTATAAATAATATTGACACGTATAAAAAATAAAGGTAGGCAATCGTCAGGATGATAAAACAATCAATTTTTTATCCAAACAAATTCAAAAACTTCTTAACATATATATAAAATATATAATAGATAGACAATATGAGAAATATTATGAGTAAAAAATATCAAAATTAATAATCTGTGTAGATTAAAAATCAATTTATAAGAAAAAGGCATTTCATGATAATGCAAGTTGTTGATGGCTTGCGCCATCTGTCTGAATAAATATTAACCAATTGTTGATTTTTAATTATTCCAGAATTGCCCAAATGCCTTTTTTAACTTTTCTTGAATAATTGAAAATCAACGAATAACTGATATAAATTCGGATAGATGGCGCAAGACTTCAGTAATTTTTAGCTGCAAGATCAGGAGGTTCTTTTTTCTTAATTTATCCACCTGATCCCAGTACAGTTTTTTCACTTTTTTACTATTTATTAAATGAATATTCTGTTTAATATCTCTTTTACTATGAGATCTGTGATCGACAGCTTGCAAATCCTTTTGCTACTGACATGGATGTTCTTATCATAGGTTTCCTCGAAGTCTTGAAAGTTTGTGGCGTTAGGAGAAACTTTGTCATTTTAAGGTCTTAGGGGTTCTCGCACATTTGTATGTGCAAAGTCGAACTGCTTTCCACATGTGTAGACATGTGGTGCACTTACAGTAAAAGTAGTCGCCTACTTCCACCCACCATGATTACCATGGCCTTTACCACGTGTACTAGGGATAAGCAAAAAAAAAGGTCTTAGGAAGAAGTCCCGGCTTTAACATGGAGTGGAATCCTGGATTGAGTCGAAGAAAAATGTAGACTAGAGTACACATGGCCTTTAAAGTCTTCTCTGAAATCTTCAATTTGATTTTCCTAATCTACCTAGCATCTCCACCGAATTGTCACATCGAAAAATTGGGAAAGCCAATCATAAGAATGAAAAAAAAAGCTATTATTTTTCAAATTCAATTAAAAAACTAATAAAATTAAACAATAAATAAACAATAGTAGAAAATGCTTAGTAACGTATTATCTAATTATTAATCTGTTGCTTTTTATAATATTCTGTTACAATATATAAATATTTTTTTTAAATTTAGAACTTTATTTTATATAAATTTGCTTAGGTTTTTACGTAGATTGTGACGCTCTATTCAGACTATAGTACTTACCTGGAAGAAGCAGCGTATGAAGAGGATGCAAAGGTAAGTAAGTAATTTTTATTTTTCAATAAAATTTTCCACCAGAGAGAGAGAGAGGCAAAATACATATATTAATAAAATTTTAAAACAAGATTATTTTTACCAATCAAAATAGATATTAATACAATTATACGCTATCTCGCTCTTTATTTTAAAAAAAATTAATACACAAAGTGAGTGAATTGCGCATTCATATTTGCGTCTATATTTTGCACACATTTACGGACAATAAAGTTTGCAAGCCAAGATGAAAGCGTGCTACAAGTTCCTAACTATGCAAATATGTCATATAAATAAGTATATAATACGATGAGTTTGGTGCGAATGCACTTAATTGAACACTCAGAAGCGATAGAGTAAGTTTTAGAGAGATTCTGATTAAGAGAAGCTCGTATTGTATGATCCATTAAGCCAATAAGAACCTGAAATCGTTATGAAAAGTAACAAGAATGCCAGGTTAACTCAGGACAAGACATTATTCTCAATTGACACACACACACAGTTTCAGAAAGGCATTATCAGCAATATGAAAATGTCGAGATGGTCAGATATCAGTCTGACACGTCACATCAATCGTTTTAACTTCGTCCGATTGTGTTGGAAACATTGGAGACAAGATGGTACCCGGTGAACCAACACAGAACGTATTATAGGGACAACGAGTATAGGGGATTGCTGGAAGTTGCATCAATCATGGACAGATCCCACCATGAACTCGTCTACCAAACAGGCTGAAGTTGGGGTTCCGATGTGTTTAAAATTCTTCTCAAAGCGCCTTGAGGAAGCGAATCTGCGATCTCATTGCCCTTTGCGTGTCCTACCAATAATACAATAACACAAGAGTCTTCGTGTATAATGATTCCGATCACTAGGATCTGGAAACCCAACTGAATTGCTATTAGAGGTTTTTAGTGATGAATGAAACTTTGTGTTGAGGTCAGATGATCACTGTATATTGATTTGAAGAACCTCAGATAATCAAGCACAATTACACCTTTCTTGTCGAACGTCATCTTTACGATTACAAACATCATTCTATAAGTTATGGGGAATCACTTAGGATAGCCAGACCTTTCTTGTTTTACGTGGCATCTTGGAAAGCCAACGCAATGTGGATAAGGTCCTTAGACCTCGGTCTATCTCCATTCTTGAGCAAATTTCTAACAGGATAATGCACGGCTGCATACCGCAATGATTTTCTAGATTATCTACTTGAGGCTTAGCTCTTCTACGATCTTCTTCTTCCGCGCACAAATATGCAAAAAAGTTAACTTTTTAAAATTTGTCTATGTATGTAGGGACAGTAAGAAGTTGGGCCGAAATGTTAAATTTGCCAATTTACCAAAGATAAAGTAAAAAAGGAGGGTAGTTGCCAAAAGAGCTTTATCGCGAGGTGTATAATTAGAAAGATTAATGAGAGCTGACAAACGGACAATCTGTCGCGCTGGGGGAAATTGGAACGACCATCGATGTTATCAAGGGCTGTGTCCGCCGATTTCCTGGCCCCGTGTTATACAACCCCAGTTTCTAATGGCCATATTGTGAGAGAGACCGATCAAAATCTATATGAAATTGACCAATACCTCAAGCCATTGGCTCATAGAGTTCTTAAAGGCTGGCCTTTGAGTAATACACGTGTAAGTAGCCATTGGCAGTTTGTCTCCAAATGTATAGGAAAGGTGAAGCAAGAACCTTTCTAAAGCCCATATTTGATTGAATGGATTGTCACAAGGCGCAATTATCTTTTAAATTCAACTAATTAATTGATAGAATCTTGAATGATAGAGATTTGGCTATGTCTTAAACATTCCCAAGAAAGACCATTCTGAGGGCAGCAACCTTTTCTTTTGGTGAATACCTTTATAGAATCACACACACAAAAATGACTTGAAAACTAACTAACCTAAACCTCTAATGAGAAGCTACTTTCATGAGAAACCAAGATGTGTGTACACTCATAGACAAAACTTAAGGAAATTAAATCTTTTAGCATGTATATCGGGATTCAGACAATAACTATGAAAGATATTACAGTAACTTTTATTGAAGACACAATAAGAAACAGACGACCGGCAACATTACTGACTTTCTAATTCCTCATTTTTTGTCTATAGGTGTATTTGCGGTATTTATTGCAATGTGAATTCATGTTTATAATCCATGTTTAAGACGGTTTCCCACAGAAGACGTTCTACTTGTGTGTACTTGTAGATCAACCATAATAGACACATTATGAATATGGAATAACGCAAAAAATACTCTAGCTTCCATGCTTTTTAAATACCAGATCATTCAGAAGTTGTATCAAAGAAAACAGTGGCCAAATAGTTCCTTGTAAAGGACAACAGAATGTCGTCGAAATGTTGGAAGTGAAGTATTTAAAAGGTTGATGCAAATAATTTTCACCTCAATCACACAAAAATAAAAACATTCATGGACAAAACCTAAGGAAGTTCTACCTTTTAGCGTGTATATCTTGATTCAGACAATAACTCTGACAGTAACCTTTATTGAAGACACACGAGATAACCAAGTCTGAGGTAACCACTGTCATAATAATAATAAAAAAAGAAGAAAACCAGACGACCGGCGAAATAAAAATATGAAAGTTTCTTAAGGTTTGTTCATGAATGTATTTATCAATAAAGCGTGGAAAACAGGTATGTAGTTCCTTAATTTACCTATATAGATATAAATAGACTGGTATATAAATACAAAGAATTGGTTTAAATCTACTATCGAGACAGGCCCTTCCATTAATTTATCATTGCAGTGAGGGCAGTATAAAATTATTTTATTTTAAATAGAATCATACGCGTCTAAAATAGTTTCAAATTCTTAGTACAATATTTGCTGATAAATGTCAATCAGGCAAGGTGTATCATTAGACCTTGATAGGAATACGATAAGAGTCCGTCGTAAATACGAACACGTCGTTAAACAGAAGGTCACTGAAAATCACCTTTTTGCATATAGTTCTTTATATTATTCCAACATACAAAATATTTTATTATAACAAGAACACTATATACAAAAGGAACGGTAAGGAAAAATCAATCAACGAAAGATATTTGCAATGATGTTTAAAAAAAAAAACTTTTTGCGCAGGTTAAAAAAAGTTAATTGAGAGCGTGAGTGAATGTTTTTTTTTTTTTTAATGAGAATTAATAAATGTCCGTGGAATGTAATGGCCGCATTGATGGGAAGGGAACGTTAGGGAGAGATTATGGAAATGGCTGTCTCCATATCTGTATATAGAAGGTCATGTCAGAGATGGTGGTGGTGGCGATATGGTCAGGTTTTCTCGTTCCAATTTTCAACTTGTTACTAACCATTGTGTGATTTAACTCTCTGACAATAATTTTCTTCATTTGAACTTGGTGAGCTTTTATTATAAAAAAGGCATCTCCTTATCGTGCAACTGAAAGTTTCTGATGGCTTTCGCCATCTATCGGAATAAATATCAACTATTTTCGTTGATTTTTAATAATTCCAGAATTGGCCAAATACCCATTCTTGATTTATCAAGAAAAGCTAATCAGGGACGCGTTTCGGACTGTTGGCCCTCATCATAATGCAAGCCATCAGAACTTTCAGTTGCACGATAAGGAGATGTCTTTTTCTTAATTTATGCACCTTATCCCAGTACAATATCAC